CACACACACACACACACACACACACACACACACACACACACACACACACACGCACACTCACACACACACACTTTTTGCCTTCCATTTTGGCTCAAATTGCCCGCTCCATAATGAACCAGACATACGTCAGGGTTCACCGTATAGGATCAGATAATGCGAATCTATGGTTCTAACCAATACCAAAGATCGTACAAAACAAGATAGTTCACTCCTCTCTTTAAGCCAATTTTAAAAAGTGTCATCACAATCCGGTGGCGCCCTCTTCGAAAAAGTGCGGACTTTGCGAATAGAGTTACCCATCTTGTGTGAAAAACGACAAAAGTGAAACTAACAAGACTGTGCTATTCCTATTCTTCTTTTGGAGAAACGAAAGAGACCTTCAAAACAAAGACTGCAGTGCCAACTGAATCAATGCACTGATTTCCGCGGACACTTTTTTGATCGAGTAAACTATCTTGTTAGCATGTACAATCTTCGCCAATACTTAAACCCGAAAACAAAACGTACTGGAGATCTCTACTTCCGTCTGCGAGTGATCAAATCCAGGGTAGTCGGCGTCCGACAGGGTGCAAGTGTCCAGCACCGTCCCTACAGGTGTGTCTTCTGCCACGGTCAGTGAGCTGGGCAGTCCGCTAATCACCGGCGTCTCGTCGTTCACAGAGGTGATGTGGACCACCACGGACACCACGAACGTCTCGTCGTCAGTGTCTTGGACGAAAATGTTCATCTGAGATACAGAAAGAGTAACTGTCTTTGTGATTCTCTGTCTGTCTGTCTGCATGTCTGTCTCTCTCTCTCTCTCTCTCTCTCTCTCTCTCTCTCTCTCTCTCTCTCTCTCACTCACTCTCTCTCTCTCTGTCTGTCTCTCTCTGTCTCTCTCTGTCTCTCTCTGTTCCCTCTCTCTCCCTCTCTCTCCCTCTCTCTCTCCCTCTTTCTTTCTCTCTTTCTCTCTCTCTCTCTCTTTCTCTCTCTCCCTGAAGAAAACAATGCGTGACATTGGATAGCTTAACACCCCTTCCAGTAGTGTACCCTATCTGTAGGTCGTGTTTTACTATCGTATCCATACGACGTAGGGAACTCTGTGCCACCACCATTTTCAAAAGAGGGAACTTACTCGTTAATCCGATCCATACGCTTGCACAGCAGTCTGTCAAAATGATTTTTTAAAAAGAAATACTGAAAGTTTTAAAGATATCTTCGTACTAGATCTAGAAGTATTCTAAAATGTGAAGAATACAACCCCGGGGAGACAAAATGACCCTGGGGGCGTTCGGATAGGGTTAATTATGTAAGAGGAAGGCTGCTTTGATCCTGCACGTCAGGGCGTATCCAGATTGTAGGGGGGAATAGATTTCCTGGAAATTGACGCAGGCACTCGATAAGGAAACTTCTTATGCTCGATGAAACATCGTTTGCATGTTTGTTTGTTTGTTTGGGGGTTTTTTTAAGTTCTGTTTTCTATTTTCGTCTTGAATATCTGTTATTTACAAGCGATTTCCTAATTAGTCTAATTCTTAGGCCTTTTGGTTTGCGTGAAAAAAATGAAGGAAAAATCCAACGTTAAGAGGGCATCTAATTTTACCAAGTACAATGTATCTCTTTCTTTCTGAGATGATATGTGCCTCATAGCCCCATGGCTTGCACACACGGGTACGATTGAAGCAGCCTCCAGCCATGAGATTTCTTAACTGAGTGGACCAGCACATAAAGAAAAACAAATTACGATTTATACCATCTTTTGACAAAGACAGAAAATAAATATCTTTTTGAAAAAGAATTCCGTGTAGATTACCAAAAAATGAGTTGAAAACACTGGATATACTATCAAATAAAAACCCAAGAAACCTTTAATTCATTCTTTTTTATGTATCCGTGTAGAATAGAAAAGCGAGCTCAAACTTCTTTATTCACAATCTAATATTATTGTACACTCAAGGGATATTCAATTTTTATTCACTTGTCTCTTTATTCTTTTATACCCGTACAAAAAAGAAAAGAGAGTTATAAACCATGCAATCCGCTTTAACGTTGATCTATATGTATACCAGTGCAACATTATTATAATATGTGTATATTAATATACCTTTATTCATATCAATACACATTTAATAAGGTCAGAAAGAAAACGATAGAGCAGGGAGATGCAAAACTCAAAAACTCAAACAACTCGATTCACTATCTTATATCATTATACAGTCAAGTACTGTTTTATCTTTATCATGTATCTTCTTGCCTATTAGATCCGCACAGAGTAGAAAAGAAAATTAAAACCGCTCGATGCTCCCACTAACTTAACAAACACCTTTATTAATGTAACAAGATCGCTGGTTTTTACCTATACGCACGTCAGATCACGGGGATATTTTTCTTCAGCTATAGATCCTCTTTTCCGATTTTTTACAGTCCACACACACACTAATAAGGGATGCCCACTACGGATGGGGTCTGCCCATCAGGCCAATCGCCCGACTCGATCGCCTCAAAAACAAACGTGTTTGTTTTCAGCTTAACCACCGGCCGGTGTCTAACCAGACTAAACACAACCGTCTCACGCCAGCAACACAGTTCACTCACACGCAGTTCCGCTTCTCCGCGGGCGTGCATTCTCGCTCACACTTTAACTGCACACCACATACATGACAACATAATACGCACGTTTCCGACTCGTTCAAAAACAACCTACAATTAAGATTAGAGAGAAAACAAGAGAGCAGGCACCCCCCGCCTCCCCCCATTAAAAAACACCAACTCTTCTTGGAATAAGTTATTAAAAACATATTTCGTGCATGACGTCAAGGCTGCCGCCTCATGGAAAGCGGAGACGCCGGATATAATATGTCGTGGTAAAATTTATCTCGTTGATCAATAAAGTAGTTTTCCATTGAGTATGATCATCTTATGACTCCCCTGAGGAACAATCAATGTTCCTGCATAGGGAATAGCAGCCCCGGATTTAAATAGTAGATCCAGTAAAATAAAATGGTTTGGCTACCTGTTACCTATGTCACTTGGCCAGCCAGCCTCGAGAGCCTTCAACACCAAGCACTCAGGCTATAAAGGAAGAGGAAGGCCACGCAAAAGGCGAATCGAGGGTGTCAAAGAAACCCTGAGAAAACATATCACAACTGAAAGAGCTGCGGAGCTGGCCTACCATAGAAAACTGCATCTCCCCTAGATGCTTAACGGCAACAGAGGATGAAAAATAGAATATAAAATAAATAGAATCAAGTAAGTTCCGAATGAAAAGCTCAAGTAGACTTTATATCTCCAAACTCACAGGATAGGGGCTGATGTAATTCAACCCATTCCCCAGTAAAGCCTCCGCATTCGGAGAGAAGCTGGTGGTTATCCTGCCTGTGTTGGTGCCGATAGTAAACTGGTTGCCTATGTTGGCCGTTTGGATGCTAAAGGTCAAGACATCACCGTCCAGGGGGTCACGGCACTCAGCGCCCAGGTCCACCACCAGAGTCCCGGCCGCCTCGTTCTCTGGGATGTTGAACACGTAGAGCTCTTGGTTGCAGATTGGCGGGGAATTCCCCGCATCTGATGGGTGGAAACCAAAATCAATGGATTAAATAGTATAATTTCTTTTTCTGGTTTGCTATGTTCCTATGTTTACAATCCCCCTGACCCAAGCTCTCCGGCTGGTGGCAGTACAGAGAGACGCCTCTTTCTTCCCGTGACACCCAAAAGGGTATAACTATAAGAGTCGGGTAAAAGTAAAAAGTAAAAAGCTAAGTTCCCTTTTTAAAGTTATTAGAGTTTCGATGTTCTCGGGGGCTTCCGTTGTAATTTTTACTGTTTTAATAGTTTCATTTTAAACTCTGGGTTTAAAAAAAAATTTATTTCGCTAGGCTAACTTTCATCTTTGGACACATCATTGAACTTAAATTGATTTGATTTCTTTCTTCTTTTTTAAAGGATTGATTGATTGATTGATTAATTGAACGATTAATTGATTGATCATTCATTCATACATTCATTTACTCATTCATTCATTCATTTACTCATTCATTCATTCATTCATTCATTCATTCATTGACAGGACGCTCGTGTACTTTTTGCGTTTTGCGTACGTACCTGCCCTTTGGAGCATGCAAAAAATAATCATGCTTGTCCACCAGTACATCAAACCTGACCGAGCTCTGTGTTTCTTCCTTCGAGTGTGGTCTGGCATTTTCGTGCTCTTTGCTGATGGGAGCTGCCTTTCTGTTTTCCAGAAATAACTTGTCAGCATGACTGTATGAAAGTGGAATTAAAGGAAAATCATTTGAAATGAGGGCCATGGGTTTTTAAAAGGTGTTATAAATCTTTAGCAAGTCAGAGGTTTGGGACTTTTTTTTTTGGGGGAGGGAGGAGCAGCCATAATAATTTTGTCTAATTTTTTCTTTTTATTTCGTTTGATTCTGTATGCCTATCTTGATCCCTTCCTTGTACAATATGACTTTTACTGACAAGTTTCTGTTTATCATACTAGGAACTGAGAACCGTCATCTGTGTATTATCAAAGATAGTACATAATAAGATGGTCCACTCAGCCAAAGAAGTGTCTGCCGGAAGTCCGCTCTTCGCTTCAGATGGTGCTGCAGTCTGTTTTGAAGTTCTTTCGTTTCTCCTGAAGAAGAATAGGAATAGCACCTCCTTACGTGCGCAGATCGACTGCTGTTCATCAGCGGTTGGGGTTCGTTCAGTGCGGGGTTTTAGGTTTTTTTTTATTTTAATGACCTCTCGCCTTTCATTCTAAAGTCAAATTAAACAATGAAGACAGTCTTCCCTTCCTCTGGATGAGGATTTTTGTCAGCGTAACCATTTTAAGAAAGCGTTCTTCCGAAATTTGAATTCTTATTTATTCAAAAACTTGTTAGTTTCACTTTGATTTTTTTAACACAAGTAGGGTAACTGTACGCAAAGGGTGCGCATTTGCGAAGAGGGTGCCACCGGATTTTGAGGACACTTTATTAATTTGCTCAAAGAGAGGAGTGGACCCTCTTGTTAGGAAGACTCTTTGGTATTATGTAGCACGCAGGTGACCAGAGTTCGATTCCCCACTGATGAGAGTTTTTATCGAGTGTTTCAGTCTTTCTTGTTTCAGTTTTCAGTAAGAGTTTACGGCAGTTGCAACACTATAAGGTAATATAAGTGCGGAAGATTAGGGGCGTTGCTAGAGGATAATAAATTAGATACAAAAGAGAAGGAAGAGAGATCAGGACGAAAGTTGTTCTGCCGAGATGTTGTACCTCTTTCAGCCTGGGTTTGCCTTGACTGGCAAGGTTGAAATTCGTCTCTTAATTATTATCTCAAATGATGTCGATGGTGGTGTAACAATACCTCTGTTCTAATTTTTTAAAAAGTATGTCAGGGCAATTGATCGGAGGGCGCCGTGGGTATTTTTTATCTTGTGTCTTTCTTTTGTTGATTATGTGTGCTTTTCTAGATTTTTTTTCATGGCACAAAAATGCATTTTTAAGTACACACGTATCTGTTTTTTTAAAACTAGGAACTCAGAATATAGGTAGTAGTCTACCTGATCTATACAGGAACCTGAGTAGTGATAGAAATATATCATGCAGGGAAAACCCTACCGTAGAGCAAAGCACAGATCCGGGAAATGCTGTCTGTTTTGTTGATAAGAATTTAGAGAAGCTCCATGCTCCGCACCATAATACATAGATATGAAGAATGGACCATCGATGGCAAAGAAACAAAAAGGATTGCAGCCTTCGAAATGAAAAATATAGCAGACCGTTTTAGTTTGTTTAGTTTTAGTAAGAGTGTTACGGCACTTGCAACACAATAAGGTCATATAAGTGCCGAAGATTAGAGGTGTTACAAGAGAGTAATAAACACAAAATAGAAGGAGGGGACAAAAGGACGATAGACGTCTGATAGGAAAGAAGAAGCAAACCACACCAGAGCACCAGCCAACCACCCGCTGAGAGACCGTTTTAAGTATCGTGGAGACAGATAATAAAGATTGAAGAAGTAATAGGAAGAATAAGCATGGGAATATCAACACTCCTCAATATTATAATGAAAATGAAACTTAACTACTTTGGGAATATCAAACTACTCGAGTCACTCAAGAATCATATTTCAAAAGCAAATGTAGAAGGCAAGAGGGAAGGGGGAAACCTATCAGAAGACGAGAACAGGACAAAGAAATCTGGCTTGACACCAAAAGAACTCAGCAAGCAGATCGAATAGCAAGAGACAGATAATTTTTTTTACAAGAACGCAATGCATTCCCTGTTGAACCCTGTTGAACTTTCAACCTGCTCCTTCCCCCGATTCCTACCCCCTCCCTTAAATTTCCCAACCTTCTATTCTACTGCACCCCCCCCCTTTTCCCAACCCCCTTATCTATTCTTTTTTTACACCCCATGATCCCTTTTCCTCTACAAATGCTCACTATGTTCGCCCAACCCTACTTTCCCCTGAGTTGTGTACATTACCAATTGAGTACCATCACGATACTGCCATCGTAGAAACTAAACTAGGAAAGCCTTTTTAATGCGTCTTAGCACTATTAATTTTATTAAAATTCACTTGCTGGTACGTTGAGACTGAATCCCTCTAGCAAAGCGAACGCAATCGTTGGAAGAGCGATCTATTCACTTTTTCTATTCCGGTGGCATTTGTACGGTCCTCTCCTTTCACCCTGCCGTTTTAAAGGTCAAAGGAACATGTAAAATGAATATATAATTAATCAAGTAATAATACGACAAGGTGGAGTATACTATTTGCATATCGCCCAATATCGAAAAACCTACATAACTAAGCTCTGGAAGGAAACTTTCTTGGTCCTTTGAGGTATCTACAAAATACTTGGTGCTCCATTTTCTCTTTTTCAAAATATAAAAGAAGGGGATTGAAAGAAGAGAAAGGCTATGGAAGGGCGCTGACAGAATTAAAAAGAGAGAGAAAAAGAAGGGAAGAGAGAGAGAGGAGAGAGGGGGGAGAGAGGGGGGAGGGAGGGAAAGGGAGAGAGAGGGGGGAGAGGGGCAGGTAGAAAGACAGACAGGCAGACAGGCAGACAGACAGACAGACCGACAGACAGACAGACAGACAGACATACGGACAGACAGACAAACAAACAGACAAACAGACAGATAACGAGAGTCAAACTTGTAAAAAGAGTTAGAAATGTTAGTAATAACTCCTTAAACCACTGCTTACTGTTAGCTTCGAATAGTTAAGGTCATGGTGAAATATGGCCAAAGAGTAGTTGCGAAATTCAACGTGGTTATATCACTTCGTAAGCATACTGGTCGGATTAACATAATAATACAAGTTCTGGACAATAAATAGTTGAATGAACTTTAAACCACACTGGTGGGTTCAGTAACCTCTTAAACTCCCTGAGGACGCTCCTTCTAGTCATTCGACGACAACACTTACCACCGGCATTCGGATGAATAATAATAAAGCAAGACAGGTTGTTTTTGAGCATTTAAAGAAAGATCCACAACTACGTTAACCATACAGATTTTCTTTCAGTTTTGTTCTCTTTATCTGAAACTTATACAGGCAGACAATAACATGAATACTACGAAAAATGGAAATTCATGCCTCTGCTTTGTGTATGATGGCTCGAAATGTGCCACGACCTAGCCTTTACCCTGCTGATGTGCCCGCTATGTCCTTAAAGAATGGTCGCTTTTAAGCACAAGGGGGCTATCCTGAAAAATGCTGTTTGGAGAAAATCTAAGGTAAAGTTTGTGCCTGTTTTTCAGTTTCTTTAAAAGACAAGGAGAGTTTTTCTCTATAACCAAACAAATATACACACCAATGAAACCAAACTTCTCCTATAGGTAAAGCAATGCCCACTTTTGGTGTAGGCTGAGATTTCTGGAAATCCTTGAAATCTGGGTTAGCCCGTGGCGCTTGTCCTTTAAAGCGAAAGATTAAACCCTCATAATTTGCGAAATCCCACATATTATTTAGCTAACTCAGAATCTGTGCATCCATCTTCCCACGATTTCGATACAAGATACGTGTGTCCCTGGCAGGAATTTCTCGAAGCTCCCACAAAAAGGAAAAAGAGATGGAAAAACTATAGAGCGAAGTGAGAAAACAACGTTCAAACAAAGAGGATTCCTACAGGCCCTTCCTCAATGAGCCCACACAGGGGACAATCCATCACAGTAGTGTCATCGTTCGCATCGATGTGATCATGTTTGTCTTAAAGGCACTTTTTTAAAATTTGAATTGAATTTAAACTACTTACAAAATTTGTTATTTTCAACAACCCTTAAAAGTTCTATTTTGCAACTTAAATTTGGAGACACAAATTTGTCCCCGAAGAGTATGATAAATATATGACGGCGCATTACTGTCGTAATAATGTAGAGGCACTGGGTTCGACTCCCGTGAGGGATACCCTGACAGGCAGGGTAGAATACCTCCTCCTATGTGATATAAATTATGTCGATGAGGGTATAAAAATACCTGCATTAAAAAAGGTAAAAGCATGATACATAAACACAGGAGGGAATTAAGAAAACAGGATAACGTGCAAATGACGCCATCAAACCACCCACGGTTGAAACAAAACGGGAAAAGAAAGAAACGAAGAGAGTAATATACACCATTATAGACTCGAACATAGCTGTAATTAGTATGAGTGATGATGATGATGATGATGATGATGATGATGATGATGATGATGATGATGATGATGATGATGATGATGATGATAGCACCCACTCCCATACAATACAGCCCAAAGTGCTTCACAGTACCTCGATTTCAAAACATAGCACAAGCGACTGAACATACGCATACATGCGCTCTTTATATAAATTCTAATACGTAAGCACCGGACACCCATACTTTCACAGTATAGTCAAGAACGATATGCACGTCAAATTGTGAATGGAAAAAGTACGATGAATAAAATGGGCTACGTGAAAAGTGGCATTTTATCAGAAAGGCCAGTGTTTTTGTTTTATTTTTAATGAATTCCATATCTTTCCTCCGAGTTTATATGTTTCAAATTTTGTGGGAGAGGGTACAAGACAGATGGCACTACATGAAAAAAGGATCTGCCAAGGAGTTTTTGCACCCCCCACCCCTCACCCCTCCTTCTTAGGTGTTATAAGAGGTGAATTATCTCCTGATTTTAGAGATCTTGGTTGAACATACTTTGAGTGAGCTTACTTAAATACAAGAGGCTTT